TGCAGCTAATTCTAACCTATACTATTTGCTACACGTTATTCCTTAGACTAAATTACTTCTTTCTAAAATCTTTTGTTTGTTCTTTTTAGTTATAGATGACAGTGGAATGCATTTTGACATACATACATACATGGAGTACAACTTCACATTTTTGTGGTTGTACATATGTAGGGTTACACTGATCATGTATTCATATATGAACACAAGTAAGTTATGAGTGATTGATTCTACTGTCTTTCCTATTCTCATCCCCCCTCTCTTCCCTTCATTCCTTTTTGTCTAATCCAGTGAACTTCTATTCTTCCCTCCTCTCCACTTATTGAGAGCTAGCATCCACCTATCAGAGAGAACATCTAGCTTTTGGTTGTTTTGGGATTGGCTTATTAAACTTAGCATGATAGTCTCCAGTTTATCCATTTACTGGCAACTGCCATAATTTCATTCTTCTTTATGGCTGAATAATATTCCCTTGGGTATATATATCACATTAGCTATGTCCATTCATCTGTTGAAGAGCACCCAGGTTGGTTCCATAGCTTAGCAATTGTGAGTTGAGCTGCTATTATCATTGATGAGACTGCATCACTATAGTATGCTGATTTTAACAGTCTAAATTACTTCTCAGTTGACAAAAATTCATAGGAGTCCTGGAGACAGCAGAGATGCTTTCAAGTTCACTTGCTAACTCCAGAACTTTTGGACAAATTATTTACTCTGCAGACCTCAATTTCTTCATCAATAAAATGAACACAATGGTCCTCCCTCAGAGAATTCAGTTGAGGATACACAGGCTGCTTACAGAGGACCTGGCATAAAGCCTGGCACACTCAACATCTAAGAAACAATTCAGATACTTCAGCAGCACCTGTGCAGCTCCCAGCACAGCCTGTTCTAGGCTTCTGGCTCCTTCCCTGCCTCCCCTCACTTGCCTGTGATTTTCTCCAATTTCCTCACCTTTCCTTTCAAAATCTCTTCTCACAAAAATCTGAAGCCCAGTGATAGTTGTGTAATTAATAGAGAATAGCTTAAATCATTATTTTTGTCAGGGAAAAATATAGATGTCAATAGGAATCAAAGTCTCTGATTAAAGGCAGGGCACTCTAACAAAGAACTTCCAGGCCTTGGTGAGCTGGAGGGAGGAGAAAGGAGCTGGGTCTCAGGCCCCTGTAACACTCTCCCACTGCAGTTCCTGGGAACCCCCACTGGAGCTGGCCCAGATGCAGAGATGAAAGAGGTAAGCCCTAGCTGTATGCCTTGCACAGGGGCTTCCAAAAGGCCACAACTAGGGCTTACTTGACATTCCTGCTCCTCTACACTCAGGAAGCAGGCAGAACTGATGAGCCCACCTGGGCAGGCAGAAAAGATATGTAATACATCCTAGGAGCTATTCCATGGGACTCACAGGTTCTGATCAGAACATCTGGAAAGACCCCTTGGATTCTTTTCTGGGTGTTCGGCTTTAAGAGGGACCCTGGAAAACCACAGTCATCCACCAGAGAACAAGAATGACCAGGATGCACATAAAACTGGAGGGAAATGTTAACCTGGAAAAGACCAAGACTGATGGCTATCTCTACACACTTAGCAGCACTCTTGTCCGGGAAGATTGTTCTTCTCAATAGTTCCAAGGAAGAATGAGGGTTGATGGGTGGAAAGTCAAGGGACATTGAGTTTGGCTGAATAACAACATTACCTTTATGAACAGGCTGCATCCTAAGACTGGGCACTCCCTGTCACCAAGTGATGAAATACAGGCAGAGTGACCCCAGGGTTGGGATAGTAAGAATCACCTTCAGAGACTGGCTTTGGAATACATATCTTTTTGTTTGTTTACCTTATAGAAAACTTTTTATTTATAAATAGTTTAAAAATTTCTATTAAAAATAAATTTATCTAATAGTTGCAAAATTAAGAACATTACCCCCCAACAGCTGTATATTCCTTCATCCACACTCATCCATTGTCAACATTTTACCCATTTGCTCTATTGTTTAGACTTTCTCACTTACTCTTTCTCTCAGACTTGATGATTTTTAAAGTCCCTTATTTACTAAGAACTCTGATTCTACATGCTGAGGCTTCTTTCCTGATATAGGTTGAGCGCTCCTAATTGACAAATCCAAAATGCTCCCAAATCTGAAACATTTTGGGTGCTGACATGATGCTCAACAAGTTTTGTTTCTCAGAGCTTTGCAAATTTTGGATATTTGGATTAAGAATGTTCAGCCACTTAAGTATGCAGAAATCCCCAAATTCCCCCCAAAAACCTCTGAAATCTGAAGCATTTTGCACAAGGAATACTCAACCCATGATAGAGGTTTAGAAAAACTGGAATCCTGCTGGTAGTGCTTTTCACTACGCTTAGTAGAAAACCTGAACTCCCTAGGGAGTTTGGCCTGGGCCATCTCCCTGATCTCACCTCTTATCATTCCTGTTCTTATCAACATGCAGCCACTTCACAGGTTTTGCTTTCTTCCTCATATTTGCTAAGATCATTCCTGGCTCAGGGATTTTGCCCTTCCTTAATTCCTTTGCCTTAAATCCCCAATCCTCTTCATTGCCTTTCACATGGCTGATTGTTCCAGTATTCCCTGACCTTCTAAGCTCTCCCTAAAACCCTTAAGTTATTCTTTCACATTCGCTCCTGTGGCCCCATATTACCCTCTGCAATGATCCTACTTGCCTTCTGACTTTTACCATGTTGAGATTTCTTTCAAAGTCCACATGTAATTAATTATACAGCAGTGCTGTACACAGGTGAATTTGTCTTGTGTGTCTTTTTCTAGGATTACTTTTTGTCTACTCGGAGGCTGGGAAACTGCCTCCAAATGGTCCATCAAGTTGGAGGTGGTATATGTGGTTTCATCGAGAGGTCTGAGCCTTTTCCTTGTACATCAATATTCTGGCAAATCTCATTATTTCTGATCACCCTGAGCCTGGTTCCTTGCTTTGGATGAAGTGCAAATTCTCATGAATGTGAAGCTGGCCTCCTTCACCACTGCAGAAGAACATCTAGAATCCCAGATGATGGACATGGCTGTTAGTTACAAGGCCTGAAGAGAAAGGAATAAACCAGCCCTAGGAAAAACAATTGTTGAAAGTTTCTGTTTATTCACTTAACTTGGTAAGTAAGAGTAATTATTTAACAGAGAAAAAGAAATTCACCACTTAATGGGAGGGAAAATGCAGATTTTAACAGCTTTAAAAGGATAGTATCCTATAGTTGCCACTAAGTCCATTTATCTGAGAGGTGGTATATGTAAAGAATAAGAGAACAAAATCTGGAGGCAGACTTCCTGGGGTCTGAATCCCAGTTTATGACTTAATTGCTGTGTGACTCTGGGCAAGATATTAAACTCTGTTCCTCAGTTTGCCCATCAATAGTATAAACTACTAATAGTACTAAGCTCTCAGGGCTATTAGAATTAATGTAGTTAACGGAAGTAAAGTACTTACAGAAATACTGAGTACATTAACAGTGCCTACTTCTTTACAATAAAGCATTTGCTGTTAAGTTTTCTTATGTTCCACCTCTAATTAGAGAGAAAATTTTATATCTGCAAAATGCCTTAATATACATTACCCAATTTTGATCCTAACAATAGCCTGGTGTCTTTGGTAAAAGAAATTTCTTCTTTATTCTATAGATAGCCACAGGTTCAAGGTCATGTAGCTGTTAAATGGCTGATTCTAACAAGAAACCTAGTCTTTAGTCTTTAGTCTCTGAACGTGGTGGCCTCTCTGTTGCAGTCTGTGGTCTCTGTCACTAACCACAGTCATTGGTTCAACTTTGAAACAAATGCTACCTTTTAAGGACATACTGCTTTGTAAGGCTTACAACCAAAAGCCTCTCTTAAACCCTATAGAACATGAGAATCTTTAAAATAAAAAGGTAGAACAAACTAAGGGCAAATGAAAAGTCTTATTTGAACTTTAAGCTATTTTCTGACCCAAACAAGGGTACATCACTTTCATTCACACTCACAAACAACATGCAGATAAACACACAGAGACCAGTTATTTTTCCTGTCTCATCTAAGCAAAATGTTGAAAGAAAACAATCCAGGGAAAAATTAGCTTTGCAAAAGTCCTTTGAGTAAGAAAGGCCTGGACTTCTGGTAGCTGTCTCGGTAGGGTACGTCTTTTTATTTTTAAACATGATATACATAATTTGAGGATTATCTTAAGCCTTCACCAACCATGGCTCTCCAAACTCTCCTTACTATGAGAGGAGGTCCAGCCTTGGCAAGGTTAATGGTGATGCCTTACGGTAATTACTGGGAAAAAAAAACAATAAACATCATTTCATAGTTTAATACCATGATATCATTCCCATCAATATCCTTTTTATTTTCATTTTTGCCCATCACAGTGAGAAAAGCAGAAAGCTTAATTTGATTTACACAGAGAAAAAACAAACCCTAAATGTACTTTTTTTTTTATTGAGGGAGGGGGCTGAAAGGAGAAAAGGTCAACCAGCTGGTTTTCATCTATATGCCATAATTCTCTGTTTAGTTTACACTATTAAACTCCAAAGCTTTTCTTTAATCTTAACTGTTACAGTATGCCTTATTGCAGATTCTATCATGTCGCACTCCTGATAGGGTTTCAGACTTTGGCAAAGCACCATCCCCCAAGCTGGTCCTTGCCATATGGGTAGTAAATACATCCAACATTTTTTCATTGGCGCCTGCATCATTATGTTTTGTCACCAATGCCTTCTTGGGTTTTCAGTAAATTGCTGCATACACTGTGGTTTGGAGATACTGAGATGATGTACAGTTTATCTGTACACAGCCGGGTCCTTATTAGGGCTTCTCTGTCCTGTTATCCTTTTGTGGATAACCTTAACAACCATTTGTTGAAGGTGGCAGGGAGGGGGTGTGAGCAGAGAAATTGCCAAAGGAAATGAAAACAGAAAGCAGGAGCAGCCATCAGGAGGGCAAACTATTTTGCAGGAGTCCTAAGGATGGGGGAAAGAGAAGAGCAGCCCAACTTACCTGATCTGTCTTCATTTTGCGAGTCACATCTTCGGCACAGCTCTGGGATGGTCTTGAGTGATGTGACTGAATACTGAATGGGAAGCCAAAGGAGAAAGGTGTAAAATAGCAAGTTAAAATGAGAACATTCATTCAAATAGGCTGGGGGGAGGTAATAAAAACACAAGAAGAGATACCTGGATGCTTTGGAAGTCTATCTCATTATACCTTAAATGGCAGCATCCTAAGCTTCACCTACAAGCATCTAAGCAGATGCAGATTAAAAAGAGGGCTGCTGACAGTCCTTCTTAAACTAACAAAGTGGGATGTAGCCAGCAGATGCTCCATCTCTCCTCACTTCTGCTACTTGGGAAAGATGGAAGAATTATATGACCTTAAGAGCTTCCAGAAGATGGCTATAACATTTGCATTCTGAATTCTCAACTGTGTATCATTATGAAAAACAGAGGAGTTATTATTATTATTATCATTGTTGTTGTTGTTATTATCTGTGGTGCTAGGGTCTAAATCCAGGGCCTTGATAATGCCAAGCAAACTTGCATTCTGAATCAGTTTTATACAGGAAGAGCCAAGTGGAGGAGCAACTGGCTTCCAAGGCAGTTAGGGGACACGTCTGTGTTGGATGCTGACTGGACAATGCAAATGTCCCTAATGTTGTCACTTATCACAGATTTTATTCTGTAGCATCTGTGGTCTCTGTGGGAAATACCAGAGTAATATCATAAAAAGTGAGAAGAGCATGATTCTGTGTTTGAAAGCTCATGTGTTTCACGTACAGATTAGTCTGAATTGAAAGAAACCACCTTTCATGCTTAGTCCAAGCACTGACTCAGGGGCTGGCTATCAGGATAACAAATTATGACATAGGAGACACAAAATCGGAAGAGCTAAAACAAATGTAAAATCAATAGCTATGATTTATGGTGAGTACATTTGATGCCAATCAATCTTTCTTTAGAGACGGGTGTTTTAAAACAAAATAAATAGGATGAACTCTTTCTTTAATCAAAGGCCAAGCAGGGACTGTCTTCAATTATGCACATACTTTAATTTGTAAAATGCAGCTTACTAAAAATATTTTTGCTCTGTACCTCTAAGAACAATGTTCTGATGTAAATGAGAATGTATCATAAATTACTTCACCAGTACAAAATTTGGGGGACTTGTGAGAAAACATTTATTCTAGAAGAAAAATGATCACTGGAAGCTCATTAGGATTATTCTAGCATTGCAAGTGAGAAATGTGTAATTAGGACACATTTTTCAATACGGAGGTTCTTTAGTTAGTGTGATTTTGATGGATGAAGCAAAGAATCTTCATGGAGACCTCCAGTGCTTTCTGCAGGCTATCAGCACAGCAAGATGGAGGGGGGTGCAGTCGTGCCTATTGTCAGTTTGCCAATTGCACTTCACAAACAAATTAAATTTCCAGTATTTCCAAGTGAAAAATGAAATCTCAAATGACTAATTAGAGAAATTATTCTTACCTATCTGATGCAATAGCATCCTATTTATGTTAGCCATTCCTCAGAGATTACTGGTACTTTAGCAGGTTCACTAGATATGCAGATGGAGGGATGATGGTCTCTTAAACCAAAATGGAAACCCAAAGTGTTTTCCCCTTTTATATAATATTCTTTGCGGCAGTGGGGGGGGGCGGGTCATCAAGGTTAATACTGAGAAGACATTTTTCTTGGTACTAATAAAATAATTTATGTTTATGGCCAAGTACAAGCTCTTGAAGGAATATAGGAGCTTCATAGGACCAACTGATAGAGATTAAATAATTACATAGACTATAATTCAATTAAATATTTTTTGTTTTGTTTTCCAAATACCCCATGAATGACTCTCCGACAAATACTCTTCCTCCTTCTCTCTCTCTCTCTCTTTTTTCCAAGGCAAAATTCTAGATAGAGGAAATTTAAGATTGATTGTGTTTAAATATAGTTAGTGACAAATTCAATAAGGTTTGCTCACTGACTTTAATGAAATACATCTTATTAAAATGGGTGATCTCCTATCTGCAATTCTAGACACATGCCTCCTAGCTCCCATCCCAATATCAGACTCATTAGGATCTCTGATTTATTAGTTGTTGTTCCAACTCTTCCTTTTTGACCACAAAAGCCCTCCTTTTTGACCACAAAAGCCCACGTGTGCAGTAAGTTTTAATTTGATGAGGTTTGAATTTGAACAGCACCAGCTGCCTGGCTGGTATGGGGATGGGGTCACAGGCAGAGACTAGCGTAACGGAGCAGCCCACTGCCTCAACCTACATCCCTCCCCACCACCCACAGCTATATAAAAATGTCACTTCTGGGAAGGCATACATTTGAATTCCTCACATGAAAACTTAGCCATCTGAGGGATAATGACCTTGAAGGAAAAGTCATGTCCTGCTCCTGGGAATGGACATAAAAAAGCACATCAATCTAAGGAAAGGTTGATGCGTTGGCCAGAAAATTAAAGTCTGGGGTAATTTTAAGGATGTGTGGAATGTAAAATCAGCTCTGACCTGAACAAATCTGTCATTTTTTTATAAAAAAAAAACACTAGAAAAAAAAAGTAATTTGTATTTGGATAGAGGATCAAACTCAAAGGAACTCTGTAAAGATGGTTAAGATGTGATGGGAAGAAATACAGTGGAAACAATTCACAAAATCAACATGCAAAATACATTTTCTTATTTACAAATTTGGGAATGAGCACAAAACCCAGGAATCTCCCTTGTGAGAGTACATTGTGCTACCATCTGGGAGCTAAAACGGAAGACTTCCCAGGCCTTCATCCCAATTCATAAGACAGATGGCCTTTTATAAGCAGCTGTCAGATGGCCACCTACCTCATTGTCAGGACAATGGCCAGCTCCCAGAGCAGTAAACTATTGTCATTTTGGCCCCATCAGAACCAAAGCCCAATGCATTTTCCTTGTTTGCTGTCCACCAATCCAAGTTTTATAGCCTCTTCTCTTGATTCTTATTATCCTTGGGTGATAAGAAGTGAGAGAGGGCTTGATGTTGTTGGAGAAACACGGTGTGTATTTCCTTTCACTAACTTGTCCTAATGTATTCCTTTTCTAGAATCTTCCAGAGGTTATTTTCACTGTGGGAAAATTCTTTCTTATATAAACTTCTTTTCCACTTTTCTACCATGTCTCAAGAAGGGTCCTTGCCAGAATTTAACCAGGTGCCCCAGCTTCTACAATGTCCTGTCCATCCAAAGTCTAGTTCTCCCTCTATTCCTTTACTCCAGGGTCCCTCTTGCCTGCAATGATTTATTCTAGCCATGCAATACCAAGGTCTGTATTTGTCGTGCCTTCTCCACAAAGCCCTGGCTGATTGTTTTTTCCCTAGCTGGCCTTTCTCAAGTCTTCTCTTGGTAAATTTCTGTCTTGTCTTGTGTTTGGTTGTTTCCTCTGTATAAGGGTTGGTTCCCATACAAGCTCGTGGGAAAGGATGATGTCTTTGACTTCTTCGTGTGCATGGCACATAAGGACTAATTAACTGAGGTAAATACCAGGATGTACATACATTTTACTACTCTTGGGCACAATTCTATAGATGCTCAAAAGAGCTTTTTCATGTTTAGGCAGTAAGTGGGAATTTCCTGCAAGCCTTCATATTGGCACTAGAATTAGTTTCCCAAAATACAAATGTGATTTAAGTGTGTTTCCATTTCAAATCCTTCAGGGGCTCTGCACAGCCTATAGGACAAAGGCCATGTGTCCTAGCATAGCATGAGCTCAGCTACATCTCTCATTATTATCTACTTCTCTTTTGATTGTAGCAAAAAAAAAATATTTTGTGTTCACCTGTTGTTTTACCTATCTATACCCTTTAATATGTGCTATTCCATCTACTAAATGCGATTCTATCCAGATGCAAATTCCTTCTAATTCTTTAAGATTTATCTGGATGTCATTTCTATAATATCTTTTCTGACTCTTCCAGATGGAATAAAATGTCAGCTTTCCAAGTGTGTTCTCTGGACCAGTGGTATCAATACTACCCAGGAATTCATTAGGAACTCACATTCTTGGGAGCCATCCCATAGCTACTGAGTTCAGAACTCTGATTATGGGGCCTAAAATGTATTTTTTACAGCCCTTCAGGGGGTTCTGAGGCATTTTGGGGTTCAAGAACTAATGCTCTGTATTTTTCCTTATTTTAGTCATTCATCCATTACAGAATCTATCACAAAACATTTCATCTATATATTTACATAAATGCTTTCTCTGCTTCTTGAGGGTGTGGTGGCCAACATTTTATTTATCTAAGACACTAAATATTTATTAAAGTGGATTAAATGCATTCATCTAGATAGTTTGTGATTTCAGACTCAGTAATAATAACTGAAGTGACCTTAGAAAAACCTATAACTACAAATGTAACAATAAAATCATGATACACTTAAAAGAAAAATACTCTCAATATGCTAACAGTAGGAGTACTCATTGATGTCTAAGTCTTTTGAGTAAAAGATATGATTTGTAGCCAGAAGATTTGGATTCAAGTGGCAGCTCTGACATTTATTTAACTTTGTGGTTCTGCACAAATAAATTATTTCATATCCTGGGACTTAGTTTCCCTATCTGTAAAACACAAACAATTATACAAGATAATATGGGTGAAGTCATTTAGTAAACTTTTATGTGGAATTAAAAGTTTGTCTCTTCTTTGTAACCTTTTCTATGAGTGTCCACAGCCCTTTCCTCATTTTTTATTCCTGATAGTTAAGTTGATTTTAAGCGTAGAATCAGACATGGGAAATAATGGTGCAGGAAGAGAGGAGGTGAGCTGGAATGAAAGGAAAGATGGTTCGGCCCATCACAGCATATTATTTGACTTATCTTTATTCTTTCTTCACCCAAGAGAGTTTGGGGCTGATGGCCGGCACTGAAAACTCAGCTTCAACGATCTACATACTGTGGGGTCGGGCTCCAAATTCCTCAATAGGACACCCATAGCACAAGAGTTAATAACTACAATCAACAAATGGGACTTACTCAAACTAAAAAGTTTTTTCTCAGCAAAAGAAACAATAAGAGAGGTAAATAGGGAGCCTACATCC